ATCGGTTTTTAAGCAATTACACTCGCTATTGTCAGTTAGGCGTGAGAAATTGGTCTGAATGCGTGAGATCACAATTTAGATCCGCAGGCCTGAGAGTTGGTAGGTCTAGAAGCTCAATAAACCAGCTCCTAAATTTTGTTTCCACTTCAGCGGAAATGGGGACAAAAAACGCTTCTCAGTTAAGGATTATCTATTATCTATTAATTATTTACTTTTATCTATTATTTATTTTTTAAATTTTAAAAGTTGGCGTGATAACTCGAGATAGTTTTGTTTGCCAAATTACACACGTAGACGTAGATGTAGATGTAAATAAATGAACACACTTGTGGCTCGATCGAGAGATTTCAAAATAAGCACATACGTGTTCAAAATTAATGTATTATCAAGTTTGATAAAAGCTTATTTGATAAATAACCGCAAAATAATCTTTATTTAAGACAATTTTAATAAAAGAAAGTTGGTTTATATTCGGAGGAAGTTCATAATTCAAAAAATGTTTGCGTTTAAAAAGGCAGGGCGTGTTTCGGGGGACGTCGCTAATAGTTATCCTCAAGTCAGCGATTGGACCTAACCAATTTGCTTATAAGAAAGGACACAACACGACCATGGCCCTCATCAAGTCATCATTTTTGGCTTGAGTAACTTGACAGGGATGCGGATTTTGTCAGAACCTTTTCATTTGATTTTAGTAAGGCTTTTGACTCAGTCTCCCATCGCGTTCTGTGCGAAAAGAGTGTCGTATGACATTAACCCATGCATTAAGAACTGGATAATGTGCTTCCTGTGTGATCGCCAACAGAAAGTACGTAGTGGTTGATGGAGTGGTTACCAGTTTTCTCAAGATCAATAGAGGGGTTCCCCAAGGGACTGTGCTTGGACTCTTGTTGTTTTTTATCATGGTTAATGACACCAAACCTGTAATCCCTCAAACCCTACTGATCAAATATGCTGATGATATCACAGCGAGTGTGCCTGTGACAATTGGCCTCAATAACACTGATTCATCACATCAGGAAGTAGCAAACATCAAACGTTGGGCTGATGATAACCTGATGAAGCTGAACATGAAAAAGACCTTTGAGATGGTTGTTAAGGGTAAAACCAGGATGCCCCTCCCAGAGTCCATGGATGGAGTAGTTAGGAAGAGTGAACTAAAGCTGTTAGGAGTTACAGTCGATGAAGATCCACGTAATTGGGACACTCAATTCGAAAATATGCTTAGCAAAGCGAGTTCTAGACTGTACATCCTTAGAGTTTGTAAATACTACGGATACTCACTACAAGAGTTTACACTGCTGTTTGACAGCCTATAATGTCACTTTTCACCTATGCGATTGAGGTGTGGGCTTGCGCAACACTATAGTAAATTTCTTTCCCAAATTGATAGGTTTTGCAAGCGGGCTCTACGTTATGGTCATACCAGCAAATATACACACATAACGGATGTAATTAGAATCAAAGATAGGCTACTATGGAATACGATATCTACTGATAGTATTCATCCCCTGCATGAACTGCTTCCATCCCAGAGATCAAGGAGCCTTAGGAAAAGGGGACACCCTTACATCCTGCCACGTGTCAGAACTGAACGTCATAAACGCTGTTTTGTGAACAGATGCCTTTTCAGTTTTGTTTAATTGTTATTCATACATTTGTAAATAGTTTGTAATTAGTTTTTTTTTATATATAGCAGTTAGTTATATTAAATTGTAAGTTTAGACGTATGACTCTGGGCACGTTTCTTTTGGCATTTACTATTTATTAATAAAGAATTCCTTAGTTCAATTACTTACATAAATTGTCACTTTTCTACAAGACTTCTTAAACAAATGCAAAACCACAACAAACAACTACGGTTTTCTGAACATGTATGAAGTTGTTTAACTCCGGCGGATGTAACACTGAGTGAGGGTAGCTTGCGAACGCAGACGTATTTCCGGCTGTCGCTTGTCTCCGCCGAAAATTAATAGGGACCTTACGCAGAACACGACGGCAACAGCAACGAGAACGTCACCAAACAAAAGGTTTAATGAACAGTACAATGGCTGTGCACGTGCATTATAATTCTTGGTACATTTCTTTGGCGTCCTCTGCAAATCAACAACGTGAAATGACCAGTTTTCAAGTTTTTCCACAATGGGACCCACCACGGCTAATTTTTGGTATTTCTATTTGGAATTGAACGCATTCGTAGCATATTCAGCAGGGGCAAGTTTTAATACCGACAAACACACTGAATAGATCTAAGTAAATGCGAAATTCGAAAGTAAAATATGAACACGCTTTTTAATAGGCGTTGTCCTTACCGTCGCCGTCGTATATGCCGGTAAGGTCCCTGTTGTTTTGCAGAGGACGGCAAAGAAATGCACTAAGAATGATAACGCACCTGCACAGCCATTGTATTGCTCAATATTAAGCCTTTTGTTTAGCGACGTTCCCGTTGCCGTTGCTTTTGCCGTTCCCGTTAATTGTTAAATAGCAGTTGTAAATATTGCTTATATTTCCCCTATTTTGTTTTGTTTCACTTTCATTGTCTAAAGATTTACCTGTGTCCTTCAAAAACAGGTTACATTCAAAATGTTAGACCTATGAACTTCTTCGTTCTTTGGTGAAAGTTGATGTACTCAATAGTTGCACATCTGGCTGACCACACCCTGGGAGGCATTTCTGTCAGAGACTGTGTGAAGCCAATGCGTGTTTTCTCCGCGAACACGAACGCAAAAAGAACGGTATGAACGAGAAGGGCCACACCCTATTCTTACCCCTGTCTCGCCCTACCAATCCCTTCTCATCTTTAAGCTGTCGCCCCTCCTCTCTCCCAGATTATACTGAGAATAGTCTACTTGCCAAATGGAATCCAAGGCCTTGAGGACTGAAACCTACAAACGCAGTCGGATTTCTGACTGTTCTCTCACGTTACAGGCCTATACTTTCTGGCAATGTGAGACAACAGCCCGAAATATTCACGAGTAAAAAGTAGTTAAAACCTTCATTTACCGCATGTTTTCCGCACAAGAAAAGTCACATCCCTGAGGGTCACACCAGGAGTCACTTCACTTTTTTACTTTCCTTGCTTCATTTCTGTGCAGAATTAGAACTGCCATTAAAGTGCCTATGAAATGAAAAATAATTGCTTTATATTAGCATTCTGTTTCTTTTGTGATGTACATTTCTGGTGCCAAGTTTGAAGAACACCACTCTAATATTTCCAGAGCTATTCTTGATTCAGTATTTTACTGTTTTAGTGGAACTACTAATTACGTCATCACTTCCCTCATTTACAAAATACAAAAACGTAAATATCTCTAAAACGAAAGAAGATACTCCAAAAAGGAAAACCCCATTCTTCTTTATTTTGAAAAGCCTTTCAAATAAGCTGCAATCATTTTTTACTTCATAGGCACTTCAACACTGATCAGAAGTGAAAGGTTCCAAATATTTGTATACACTACACAATGGGTCCAATAGGACAAGTCCTTGTGCAAAATCTTTCATATGAAAATGAGTTTGATTTGCATGAAATTGACCATGTAGGATGAACACATTTTCATGTGAATAGTTTCACACAAAGACTCGTTCTGACACAGACTCAAAAGGCAACTCGGAAATGAAAACTTATTACACTGTCTGTTTACACTACAAAGTAATTTTGATCAATACAAACCTTGTTCATAGCCACTTTCAAGAGCTGTGTCAAAACAACCATATATTTATGACATATTCCAAAAAAAAATCCAGTTATTGTTTGGCAATAAATGACCTTTAATTTAACAGGAGTTAATACAAAAGAATGCTAAGGGATCTGACATGGGTATTAATACCCCAACTGTATTAACATAATGGTAACCAGTCGTTTCACCCTAAAGCCAGTTCGTCCAGAGTAAAAGTCTGTTCACCTGGAGTGAAAGATCAAATAAAGATATGTTCAATTCTTTCTTTTAAGTAAACGAGCAAAAAGAGACAACATTGTGGGCATTATGAAACAAAATAATTATGCAAAACATGTTTGTTATGAGCTAACAGTCCAGAGAAAACAAATTACAGTCCAGGTGAACTGGCATTGGGTGAACTGGCTTTCGGGAAAAATGACCACAATAATTATTCAAAATAATACTGAAACTTGAAAAATACACAATGGGTGAAATTTGTTATCACAAAGACTTAGGTCATCCCTGTATAAAATAAGCTGTGTGCAATAATGAAATTCTCAGTGTATCAAAATAAAAATTCTGCTTCAAGTCAATATTATTATATTCCGACGCCACTAACGGACTACTGTAATTGGTGTTTGCAAAACAAAATATGCTCAATTTTGAAACATGGTTACTCATAACTATAAAATTGAGTGTTTGACTGATAAAAATGGGAGAGGCCAAGTTTAGCCTCTCTTAAAATACATAATTTTGGCAAGGCCAGTGAATCTGTGCTTCTCAAAATAATTAAACATGATTACAGAATAAATAAAATACCACTTGCTGAATGTAATGTTCAGAAAAATTTTCGATCCCCATTATCATTTCACCACATTTCCCTAGTCAACACACTTAAATTTCACTTGCGGCATTGCTGTGCACAGGGAAACTTTAAATATATTAAATAAGAGATCCACTCTATTAGCAAAGAGAGAAAATGTGTGATAAATCAAAATATATTACAACTGCAAAGAAGGCTAACAAACTCAAGATACCAAATTGGCACAGGTAGTTTGTTAACTTTAAGTTATACAACCAATGCATGTATTTTTGTCAACTGGTTCAATAAATATATTAACATTTTAAAAGTTCAATACATTACAAGGATTATGCATTGAATAATATCATCACACTCCTTAACACGCTGGTACATGTAGATCCAACGTTGAGTGTCTTCTTTGTGTATGTAAGTGATACATTATTTCTTTCTCTCAAAGAACATGAAGTCCTGTAATTCAGAAAAAAAGAATTAAAAATATAATATTTAAATATTGAGTAATGATTTATAACATATGTTTAATGAGGCACAAATCCATAGGCAATTTTTAATGTGGTAGCATCTATGCCAACACTCCCTGATGTATCTGGGAGTCTACAGACCAAATCTCCTGGTTTCCAGTATGGGTTACCAAATCTCCCAGATACAAAAGAAAGCACTCATTGTAAATTTTTTTTCATGTAATTCTCGGCCGATTTTTGGCATTTTCAGGGTAATATTTTGGGTTGTTTTATGAAGTAACTTTAAGTTGGTATTGTCTGTGACTGCATTTTTTTACACTGGCATTTCTGTAGTTATAGGATCACTGATCAAGACTAAAAAATAATAGAGATATTGACAGAGGTTATTGTCTGATGCTTCACATCTGCCAAACACTGACTCAATTTTCCGCAGCCATACAATAAGCAGGAAATTAATAAGGATGGAAGACTATAACATGCAGGCTTTGACTGTGCCAACAATAATAGTTCCAGACTTCTGCCTGTGTAGTCTCCATTGTGTGACTGGAAACTAAGTGACAAAAATGTACAAATGCAACAAAGAATGGAGTTAGAATATTTTTACTGTACTTACAACAAGAAAAACTGCTCCCATTAAAATGGCTTTATACTTGACATCCAAGTCTAGTGGGACTGATTTAAGGGAAGGAAAAAATTTAAAATGAAAATGTAGCCTCTGAATTAGAATCGCAGAGGACCTCAAGACAAGTCATGAACAGATTGTCATTTTTCTGTGTTTCAACTCGTCTCTAAGTCTAAAATAGTTTAAGTCTTAGTCTTGGATTTTCCAATGTGGGTCTCAGAATGATCACTGCGAGTCTCAGATTTAACTGAAGGGGTGCAAAGCAAAAGACACTAAGTGATATCTGATGGACTGAAAGATTCTCCTAGCAAATTGCTTTTCGCTTTCTACAAAAGAAGGAGAATTTGACATGGGATCAAGAGTCACTTAGGTCACTTTTTCCCACACACCCCTTCAATAATTATTCATCTCCCCTGCTGTAGGATCTTATGGGATACCTTAGGATTGTAATCACAAATGTTTTCTTACTTAGCATCTTTAATAACGAATATAGAAGATCCTGTAATAAGTACTTCTGACAGAATCCTGCAGGTTTCCGAGGGATCTTTAACAAGATATAGAACCCTATCTTAAAGATTTTACACAAGATGTTAACTTAGAGTACATACAAAAGGCACTGGATCCTCAGCAGAATTTACAGTTGTACAACATGTATTACATTTTCATATAAAAATTTAATCCACGATTAGGCATCATCAGAGGTTAGTTTAATCACGGTTTTGAACAACCGGGCCCAGGGGTAAAAATTACAGTGTGCGACTGAGGGGTGGAAAACAACTTTCGGTTCAAATATTAGTCATCAGGAAGTTGAAAAATCAAAGGTATGAGAAATTGGATTTCACTTTATTATTTTATCATAAGTTTTTTAGTTGCAGCTGACATAAATAGTTGCATCAAACAAATTAAGGTTAATATTACAGTGTGTATCCTTACAGCGAATTCCAAAGTTTGCAGCATCAGTAAAGACCTCTCGTGTAAATCCCATCCACTGTTTGGTTATCATTCCAATTTCACTCCCTCCATCTAGAGAGTGGATCTGTTAACAAAACAGGAAAGTATCAATTCAACTGATGCAAAAAAGGAGATCAAACATTTTCCTTGCTTGGCATGCATATACATGTAGCAGGCAGCAAGTATATGGATTATTATACGGTTAGCTCTGCGAGCAGAGACGAACCGAATCCTGCAGTGTAATTGGCTACCCGAGCAGGTAAGATGGCGCTATCTTGCCGCTCGGACAGGATTACCCACTGTGTCCCACTAGAAAATTAAGTGTTCTCTTTTCCATATAATGTTTCAATAAATCCTTTATTGACTATACATTGTGAGCCTCAACTTTGCCTTGGTCCATAAACATGCAAAAAATAATCACTTAATGGCCAATATGCAGCCACCTTAACCTCACACTTGGTCAATAACCTATATCTATTATGTAACTTGCATTCGTAGCCGATATAACAGATGCTCTGTTTGGCTAATACTAGGTCATTATTCTCCCGTAAAGCCCGCGGGCCAATTCTGGGCCTGCAAAAACCAAGCAAAAAGCCTAGTAGTAGATATAATAAACTACTTATAACCTTGAACGTTCGGTCTTTACAGGAAAATCTCAAACCTCAGCCTTGCCATATTGACCTCGTTTTTGCTCGGTCAACATAATAGCAAGGTCTCAGTCTGAGATTTTCCTGTTAAGACCTCACTCTTGGTTAATAAGTAGTTAATATTGCACAGGAAGGAATTTTTGACAAACTTCAGGGTGTTGGGAATGTAGTAAACAATAAAACTGGTTTTTCTCAAAGCTTCTCAATCAAAACTAAAACTAAGGAGAAAACAGAGAAATAAAATTGTAAAGTTAGGATCCTAATCAAGATCAGATATCCAAACACTTTTATGAATATGATATCCTTTGTTTAAACTTTTATTTCAATCATTTTAACATGTCTAATGTGCTTGAGAGCCACACTTCAAATAGTTAATGTGTGAGTACCACATAACAAAATCTTTTTAAACCTTCACTTATGCTGAATTTTAACCAGGCAGGGAGTTTACTAAAGACTTGACAAATCAAGGTGTTGGAAACTCACAGGGAATTCAACATCTGATCCACAGCTGCAAAAACAGCATGGGCCATTGATCATCATGATGGGTTGACGCTTCGCATCTTGAATTTCCAACTTTGGTTTCCAGCAGGACGGCCTATAGAGACATTAGAACATCAGACATTTGTAACATGCAATGTTGGGTACAGGTAGGGGTGTAATGCCTCATATTCCTTGTGATTTGATTCAATTTTGATTATTGCCTTTTGATTTCAATTATTTCAATTCGATTATGCAAAATATTAATGTTTTTTTAATTCTTACAATATGATACACAATGTAAACAACCCTAAACCCTCAATTTAAAGATACAATGAGCGTGTCGCACATGGTTTGCCTTATTTGGAAATTCTCAAGGGGTGTTAGAAGGGCAACATTTTTACCACGCAACACAAAATGGCTCACAAACTGCAAACGTCTTTACTCCTCAATCAAAAACGCACATTTTAAAGAGTTCTGGATTCTGATTTCACAATATAATAACTCACTGAGGGCACTCCGAGAAAGGTATGCAAAAAATCGAACCAAAACCGAAACTTGGAATCAAAGAATCGTGAGGCAAACTGAATGGTCATAATCACGATTAATCGAAAATTCGATTAATCGTTACACCACTAGGTACAGGGCACATCATTCTGCTCCTTCAAGTGATATTACATTCTAATCCTACAGATGGTAGTTCCCTGGAGTGAGAATATTGTTACTACCACAAGTCATTCACTTGGCAGAGAAACTGTGAGAGAAATGTCTTTGGAAGGCTGCCTGCATAAATGTAATGTGCTCTTGGGCAAGATACTTTACTTTACTTATAAATGGGAATCACCAAATACCCTATATCAAATTAAAGCTTACAGAGCTAGCTACCAAACTGCACCAAGAATTTAAAAGAAAAAAGGAATTGACAAATTTTTATGACCTCTAAATGGGAGTGTCCAAATCATGTTCACGAATTATGGTAACCTTGAATGGAATGGGGTAACCCCGTAAAAGAATAGGTCCAACCAGTAGGGAGTGGAGATACTGCAGTCTCTTCTATTGAAGCTAGCTTACTTACAAAAAAATTTTGGACAATTTTAATTTCAGACAAAAAAAAGTGTCCAAAATTTTTAGGTGTCCAAAAATTTTAANAGAATATTTTTACTGTACTTACAACAAGAAAAACTGCTCCCATTAAAATGGCTTTATACTTGACATCCAAGTCTAGTGGGACTGATTTAAGGGAAGGAAAAAATTTAAAATGAAAATGTAGCCTCTGAATTAGAATCGCAGAGGACCTCAAGACAAGTCATGAACAGATTGTCATTTTTCTGTGTTTCAACTCGTCTCTAAGTCTAAAATAGTTTAAGTCTTAGTCTTGGATTTTCCAATGTGGGTCTCAGAATGATCACTGCGAGTCTCAGATTTAACTGAAGGGGTGCAAAGCAAAAGACACTAAGTGATATCTGATGGACTGAAAGATTCTCCTAGCAAATTGCTTTTCGCTTTCTACAAAAGAAGGAGAATTTGACATGGGATCAAGAGTCACTTAGGTCACTTTTTCCCACACACCCCTTCAATAATTATTCATCTCCCCTGCTGTAGGATCTTATGGGATACCTTAGGATTGTAATCACAAATGTTTTCTTACTTAGCATCTTTAATAACGAATATAGAAGATCCTGTAATAAGTACTTCTGACAGAATCCTGCAGGTTTCCGAGGGATCTTTAACAAGATATAGAACCCTATCTTAAAGATTTTACACAAGATGTTAACTTAGAGTACATACAAAAGGCACTGGATCCTCAGCAGAATTTACAGTTGTACAACATGTATTACATTTTCATATAAAAATTTAATCCACGATTAGGCATCATCAGAGGTTAGTTTAATCACGGTTTTGAACAACCGGGCCCAGGGGTAAAAATTACAGTGTGCGACTGAGGGGTGGAAAACAACTTTCGGTTCAAATATTAGTCATCAGGAAGTTGAAAAATCAAAGGTATGAGAAATTGGATTTCACTTTATTATTTTATCATAAGTTTTTTAGTTGCAGCTGACATAAATAGTTGCATCAAACAAATTAAGGTTAATATTACAGTGTGTATCCTTACAGCGAATTCCAAAGTTTGCAGCATCAGTAAAGACCTCTCGTGTAAATCCCATCCACTGTTTGGTTATCATTCCAATTTCACTCCCTCCATCTAGAGAGTGGATCTGTTAACAAAACAGGAAAGTATCAATTCAACTGATGCAAAAAAGGAGATCAAACATTTTCCTTGCTTGGCATGCATATACATGTAGCAGGCAGCAAGTATATGGATTATTATACGGTTAGCTCTGCGAGCAGAGACGAACCGAATCCTGCAGTGTAATTGGCTACCCGAGCAGGTAAGATGGCGCTATCTTGCCGCTCGGACAGGATTACCCACTGTGTCCCACTAGAAAATTAAGTGTTCTCTTTTCCATATAATGTTTCAATAAATCCTTTATTGACTATACATTGTGAGCCTCAACTTTGCCTTGGTCCATAAACATGCAAAAAATAATCACTTAATGGCCAATATGCAGCCACCTTAACCTCACACTTGGTCAATAACCTATATCTATTATGTAACTTGCATTCGTAGCCGATATAACAGATGCTCTGTTTGGCTAATACTAGGTCATTATTCTCCCGTAAAGCCCGCGGGCCAATTCTGGGCCTGCAAAAACCAAGCAAAAAGCCTAGTAGTAGATATAATAAACTACTTATAACCTTGAACGTTCGGTCTTTACAGGAAAATCTCAAACCTCAGCCTTGCCATATTGACCTCGTTTTTGCTCGGTCAACATAATAGCAAGGTCTCAGTCTGAGATTTTCCTGTTAAGACCTCACTCTTGGTTAATAAGTAGTTAATATTGCACAGGAAGGAATTTTTGACAAACTTCAGGGTGTTGGGAATGTAGTAAACAATAAAACTGGTTTTTCTCAAAGCTTCTCAATCAAAACTAAAACTAAGGAGAAAACAGAGAAATAAAATTGTAAAGTTAGGATCCTAATCAAGATCAGATATCCAAACACTTTTATGAATATGATATCCTTTGTTTAAACTTTTATTTCAATCATTTTAACATGTCTAATGTGCTTGAGAGCCACACTTCAAATAGTTAATGTGTGAGTACCACATAACAAAATCTTTTTAAACCTTCACTTATGCTGAATTTTAACCAGGCAGGGAGTTTACTAAAGACTTGACAAATCAAGGTGTTGGAAACTCACAGGGAATTCAACATCTGATCCACAGCTGCAAAAACAGCATGGGCCATTGATCATCATGATGGGTTGACGCTTCGCATCTTGAATTTCCAACTTTGGTTTCCAGCAGGACGGCCTATAGAGACATTAGAACATCAGACATTTGTAACATGCAATGTTGGGTACAGGTAGGGGTGTAATGCCTCATATTCCTTGTGATTTGATTCAATTTTGATTATTGCCTTTTGATTTCAATTATTTCAATTCGATTATGCAAAATATTAATGTTTTTTTAATTCTTACAATATGATACACAATGTAAACAACCCTAAACCCTCAATTTAAAGATACAATGAGCGTGTCGCACATGGTTTGCCTTATTTGGAAATTCTCAAGGGGTGTTAGAAGGGCAACATTTTTACCACGCAACACAAAATGGCTCACAAACTGCAAACGTCTTTACTCCTCAATCAAAAACGCACATTTTAAAGAGTTCTGGATTCTGATTTCACAATATAATAACTCACTGAGGGCACTCCGAGAAAGGTATGCAAAAAATCGAACCAAAACCGAAACTTGGAATCAAAGAATCGTGAGGCAAACTGAATGGTCATAATCACGATTAATCGAAAATTCGATTAATCGTTACACCACTAGGTACAGGGCACATCATTCTGCTCCTTCAAGTGATATTACATTCTAATCCTACAGATGGTAGTTCCCTGGAGTGAGAATATTGTTACTACCACAAGTCATTCACTTGGCAGAGAAACTGTGAGAGAAATGTCTTTGGAAGGCTGCCTGCATAAATGTAATGTGCTCTTGGGCAAGATACTTTACTTTACTTATAAATGGGAATCACCAAATACCCTATATCAAATTAAAGCTTACAGAGCTAGCTACCAAACTGCACCAAGAATTTAAAAGAAAAAAGGAATTGACAAATTTTTATGACCTCTAAATGGGAGTGTCCAAATCATGTTCACGAATTATGGTAACCTTGAATGGAATGGGGTAACCCCGTAAAAGAATAGGTCCAACCAGTAGGGAGTGGAGATACTGCAGTCTCTTCTATTGAAGCTAGCTTACTTACAAAAAAATTTTGGACAATTTTAATTTCAGACAAAAAAAAGTGTCCAAAATTTTTAGGTGTCCAAAAATTTTAAGCCTCCAAAATATTTACAGGACAGTATAAAACTTTAAGGTAGCTTAAAAGCACTTAGTTTCCTTGATACCAGGCTTTACATAAGCAACAACTTGATAGAATTTGTGTTATATTCTCGTTGGTGTGTTCATAAAACCTTAAGGGTGTAGTGAAACTGTCATCTTTTGATGTTGTTCCAGTCTAGTTTGGATTTTGTAGCCGTACATTTACTTTAGTTAAGTGTCCAAAATTGTCGTGTGAAATTTCTCCGAAATGAGATAAAAAGTGTCTGAAAATTAAACGCTGAAACAAAATGTCCAGAATTTTAATGTCCGAAATTTTTTGCAAGTAATGTAATAATTATTGTTGGGCTGATGAGCCCCTTGGGCTCAATACAAAATTTAACTGGTACATTTTAGCTACCGTTACATTGTAAAAATAGCTGTCACTTAAGTTTTGAAAAACAACTTACTTCTGCTCCACATAACCTATGACTGTCCCAGGTGGTGACTGTATTTCAATTTCCTGAAGACAGCAAGGCCACCAGCAGCACTGACACCGGACGGGTCGGGAGAGATGTATCACTTCTCTCTGCATGTTGTCAATGATTCTCATCTCAAATGGACGGCCGGGACCACAGCATTGTCGAGTACAACAGTCAGTATCTGAAAAACAACTAGTTTGTGGATCTCATGACTCGGCAGTGACTCTAATATGACTTGGTGCAGAACGTTGGATTGAATCTTCTCTTGAGATTAATGGCTTGACAGAACTATGTTAAGGAAGTAAATTGACAGAGCATTGTTAAGAAGTAAATTGAAGGCCATATGCAAAAACTAGGGCACTTTTGACAAAAAAATTCTTCGACATAAATAGTTACTTAGGAGGGTTTTCCACTTAGCATATTGATAATAACTGCATTAAAAGAAAGGTTTTTAAAACTGCCTATTGCTAAGCAACATGCCTGTGATTGACAGGTTGAAACAAAGAAATTCTTTGAAACTGACTCGCATGCCTAATTTTTTAGAAACAAATGGCAAAATAAATGGTAAAATACCCAACATTACGAAATTGTACTAACATACCTTCTTGAGCAAAGTAGACTTGCTGACTCATGGAATTACATAGAGCGTATTTGTTTTTTGCCTCACATCCAGTAAAAACTTGGAAAAAATAGCAATGTACACTGTGAATCTACATGTTTACTTTCTGTGTAAGTCATGATAATTTTAATTAATACTTCATTTATTAAGTAGACTCATTCTTGTATATCATCACAGATAAGGAATAGTTGCTAAAGTAACATATTAACCCCTGAATGAAACAATTCTCTGAAAGCAGCCATAAATTTTATGGTTGTGAGCAAATCCCAAAAGTAGCGGCCCTCTGAAAGTAACTGAAAACCCTCCAAAAGAAGTTAAAATCTCAAAGTAATGAACTCAAATGTAAAATTGACTTGCTATGTTTTGTAATGGAAACAGTATTATAACAGCAGTACATCAAGAAGCACCAAAGTCGATACTAGGTGCGATGAAAAATATATAAACAATAGCCTCCATTTGGCACAAAGATATGCTCGGATATTTGTCTGCGGATATTATCTGTTCTGAGAAGCGAACAGTTTTCCAAGAGCATAGCTCAAGGAAAAGTGTGAGCTTTGAGGAACAGATAATGTCTAAGGATAAATATCCAAGCATATTTTCAAAGTCAAATGGAGGCTATTGTGTTTATTATCCTTCAAATATTTTTCGCAACACAAGCAGTTTTGAACTAGTGAGACAATCTCAGATAGTGCAGAGTGCAATTGATAGCTCTGGCACGGTGGTCCCATAAGTACTCACCCCTGCTCGGTTCACTTCCGGTTTGTGTCTACCTTGGTAGTCTGCTACGGCTTTTCCCCTTTGCAGTGTGTATGTTTCAAGG